TCATCTTATCCATGACCCGGCTTTGCACTATATCCATCGCTTCCTCGTCTACAATTACTCAGGCCAGAATGATTCATCCTCCTCCCAGAGCTGAGTTGAACTATTCTTTTTATGGATCATGACAGCCGGCCAGCAAGTGAACTTGGGATTTTGGTTTGTTTGGACTTTTGAGATCGTTATTTGATCCAATCACCCACTTTTCCTTGGCTCTTAAATTACTCATTTAACTTCTCGCATCGCTAATTTTGACGTTACATGGTTTACTTATGCTTTTTCCACGGATGCTTTGGATGAACGATGCTTGGATTCGATGGGCCTACTTTGTGGAACCCCGAGTGCACCATACTTTGTTCTACCGGTGTCTTCACTCCTCGTCGCGAGCAAGTCTTCGTTCGTCGTAATGCGCCACAACCGCCACCTGAAGTACCTCGCCCGGATATGTAGTCTCAAATGGATGAAGTCCACAGCCGCCTCCATTCCATTGAGACAAACATTACTGAGATTATTTCCTATCTCCATCCCAGCGCCTCCCACCACGGCCGAGTCCGTGGCCGTGGTCGACATTAAATCCGGGGAGTACTTTATTCCTTCTCTTGCACTAAAATTTTATCTTTTGAGGCAAAACGTTTTAAGTGAGGGGGAGTATAGTGTAGGTTGAATTTTCCTTTTGCTTATCTTTATGTTTTGATGTTAGTATGTGTTGGTTGAATTTGCAGAAATTTCATTGAATTTATTTGTCTTGTTGAAAATTTTTGGAATTATATGCTTGTTTGGGAACACATGATTGTTTAGGTTAGGATGTTCTTGATAGTGAATAGCATGAATTATGATCAAGTTGGTATTTTTGTGATATTCCATGATTTTGTTGGTTGAAATATGATTAGCTCAATGCATGAAACAATTTGGTGAGATTTGAGCCTTTACGAGCATATCATTTTTGCTCTCATTTTGTTGGATTGACTGTGTCGAATTTGACATTTGTATTCTATAAGTTGCATGTTAAATACTGTCGAGATTACACATGAACATGATGCTTAAAATAAATTTAGGCACCTCAGGATTAACCATTCCGTTTCCCCACTAAATTGCCTACCCATGCATTTCCCATTAGTTAACCACTTTTGAGTCTATTCCCATTTCTTTGTTTTCACCATATTCATAAACTGGAGCCTTTTATGTTATCCCTCTTTTCTACCCTTTTCAGGTGCAAGTGAATAATTTTACCATTGTATGCTTCATCGGGAAAAAACACAATAGTTCAAAAAAGAAAAAAAGATGTCGTTCGAAAAAAATGAGAAAAAGACATGAAAATTGAAAACAAAACAACAAAAATGTGAAAAAGCAAAAAAATCAAATGCATTCCAAAAAGAATTTTGTTGTTTGATAGTTTGTCTTTTTATCATGTTGTGCTTATTATTTTGATAGAGTTGAACTTGTTGTTTGTTAGTTCCTTGCCTTGAATTATAGCCATATTAATTAGCCTTTTCCCCACCTTTACCTAAGCCCCGTTACAACCAATAAAAGACCTTTGATTTATGCATCTTGTTCTTATTAGTAATGAAGATTTGATTTACTTACAGGCCTATGGTAATATCGTGTCAATTCTGACATTGAGCGTTTCTATACCCAAACACAATGAGTGATTTGAGTGAATCCCGGTAAGGTGTTGAGTTATGGGTATTGAGATTAACGAATGACTGAATGGATGTTAAAATTGCATTTAACTTGTTCCAATTGGTGATATTCAATTGATTGATGTCTTGACTTGAATAATTCTTATGGTCCCTACCTTGCGTCCCCGGATGTGAAACTTGACAAAGAACGGTAAATGGAATTTTTGACAAATTTGATTATATCATACTTGAGGAAAAACATGAGATAAGTGAGGGGGAATTTGATGAGTGTTCAGAATCGTTAATATTTTCTCGTTATTTCTTCGATCTTATGGATTTATTGTTGTTGATTCGGTTGTGTTATGCTTATTTTTGTTTAGGGTCTTACTTTCCATAATTAGTGATAAAACGGACGCATTCTAGATTTTTTTTTATTTGGTCATGACTGGAGTCATGGGCACGACTCTGGGCACAACGCGGTCTGACGTTGCAGTTTTTAGAAGGTACAGTCAGCGGCGATTTCTAGAAGATCTACTTAGCGCGCCTTCTGGAATATGGACGAGCAGAGTTGCATTATGACACTAGTTTAAAGTTTGAATTTAGAACAAAAAAATAATTATCTTTAGGATTATTTTATTTTAATTTCTTTGTTTATCCTTAGGCTTTAAGAGGCTATAAATACCCTCCTGGGTAAGCCTAAAGACACAACTCAAATTACAATCTTCTTCTTCTTTCTAGTTTTATTAAAGTTTTCTATTTTATTTTACTTTTCAAGTTTTTCAATTTTTTTTCTTTTTATTTTCAAGCTTTGTTTTTAAATATGCTAAGTATGACTTTTTTCATGCTTAGCTAAATTTTTCATAAGCCGAGAGCTGAAGCGATGACTCAATTCCAATGAGAGAATAGAAATAGACCCTTAATATCTTCGAAATATCTCTCTCAATCTCTGAGCTTATCTTTTCAAAATCAAAACAGTTTTCAAAATCAAAGATAGACTTTGGTCTAGATTGTTGTTGCGATTAAACGTCTGGGAGGAAGATTCGGCTTATAGAAAGCACATTCGACTTCCTGGGAACACACTTGGCGAGATAGTGTCACCAAGAGGGAATTGAGATCGGAATTGACGATTATAGAAGCGACAATTCAAGTCGGTCGCCATGAACTTAAACGGTAATTGATCTACGACAATTGATGTTGATTAGATCAATTTTCGAAGCTAGAATCAAAGATTGCATTGGGTATTTGGTATATAAAATAGAGTCACGGGGATAACCCTTGTAGATAAAGTAACCGACGTGAATCCCGAAGGGAAAATCTAATTCGATGATATAAAGGAAATTGAGTCAAAACGATCGAAGCTTGAGGTTGTTTTTACCAAATCCATTTACAATATTTATTTTCTTAATTTTTTACTTTAATTACCTTTTATTTAAACTCTTTATTACTTAATCACTTTTTACCAAACCCCATGGTATTACTTTCACGCTTGGCTTAAACAAATCAAACATAAATTTATAATTTTCTAAGTCCCTATGGAATCGACCCTTACTTCTCTTTACTACGCATTTTCTTCATTTATCAATTGAGAAGAAGGAATTTATTTTGACATTGAAACAGACAGTTGTCATCCCTAAATTTCTATTCGATCCGATTTATCGAATTATTACTGGACTTTAACACCTTTTAGTTTTTAACATAATTTTCGGACCAAACATATGTTTTCAATAAAACACAACTCTCAAGAGTAGACTATCCATTTATGGAATAATTTTTTTAAGGAAAATTACCACTTTAGTCCTTAAATATTTTCCAATTTTATACATTGGTCGCCAAACTTTCAAAATTTATGTTTTGGTCACTAACCAAAATTTGGGATATTACACAAACTATACCGCTTTTCATGAATATGTGCTTAAACTATTTTTTGACTCATCCCGATGTCTATGTTACAAACCTTACCATTTTAGGTGTTCGGGTCGTCAACTGCGTTATTTTCCTCCATTAAGTTATATGAGTCATAATTTGGTGATTTTAAAATTTATTTATAAAAAAATATTAAAAATATTATTATATTTATAAAAAACACTAATTTTTCTTATATTATAAAAAAAATCTTAAAATCCCCAAATCCTAACCTTAACCCGTCATCATTGCCCTTTTCGGCCACGATTGCCGACGTAGTCCCAACCATCCTTCTAGTCATACGCAGCCATAGTTATCATTGATTAACCATCGGAATCACGATTTTGTCCTAGGGTTTGTAGGGTATAAAATGTCGATTCGTCGTCGATCAACTATCAATCAGTCATGACATCATAAGGATTTTGGTCACCAGGGGGAGATAAGGTTGGGTTGATATTTGTGATGGAAAAGAGTGACGGTCAGCGTGGGTTTAGGGTTAAAATGAAAGTTTTTAAAGTTTGGGGTCATTTCAAAATGTTTATGTTTTTTTTTAAATATATAATTTTAATTTTTTAATTTTAAGTAAAATTTTTAAAATTACCAGATTTTGATACGTGTCACTTACTGGAAAATCAACATCGTTGATGGCTCAGACACCTAAAGTGATAACATTAGGCACTGAAATGGGTCAAAAAATACTTTAGACATCTATTTGTAAAAAGCAGTATAGTTTGAGTACTTATTTTGGTATTAAGCCAAAAAAATATTGCTTTCGGACGATCGGATACGTGGAATAATTAAACGACACTCGTCTGTGTTTATCCGAATACTGCACAGCAAACAAAGTTCTACCATATATATTTTTTCTCCTGCTCTTAGTTTTCCTTGGCTAAACTCTCGAGATAATGTTCTCGAATAAATTAATTCACGAGATAATGCACTCCTCAGATTAATTGCTCAAATAGGGTGAAATCTACAGTGTTGGTCGTAGGTCGCCATGCCATCCGGGCGACCTACTAGGTCGCCATGTCTTCCCGGCGAGCTATGAGAGAGATTGCATGTGTCATGCACGTTCCAACACGTTGGGCATCCGAAGCCATCCGACCGAGGGCATCCGACCGAGGCCATTCGAGCGAGCTATGCGAGGGCATCCGAGGGCAAGAGGAATCACGCGAGGAGCAGGAGGAGTGCATGGCGACCTACAAGGTCGCCAGGAGTGCATGGCGACCTACAAGGTCGCCCGGAGTGCATGGCGACCTATGCTGGGAAGCTGCCACGCCGTAGGTCGCCCGGAAGGCATGGCGACCTACGGCCAACACTGTGCAATTCGCCCTATTTGAGCAATTAATCTTGGGAGTACATTATATCGTTAAATAAAAAATTCGAGAACATTATCTCGAAAATTTTGCCGTTTTCCTTGCTCCTTTTTTCTTTTGCTTTTCGAAATCAAAATACGAATTTGTTCTCTTTGAAGTTTTGATTGGGATGGAGAAACAACAAATGGAGGCGTTGGATTACCACGCTGAAGAGAGGAGAAAGGCAGGGTTTGATGTCGAAGAGATGAAGATAGTTTGGGCTGGTTCTCGTAAAGCCTATGAGATCTCCGATCGAGTTGCTCGTCTCGTCGCTAGTGATCCGGTATTTCGAAAGGATAATAGAACTATGCTATCTAGGAAGGAATTGTTCAAAGATACTTTGAAGAAAGCTGCTCATGCGTGGAAGCGGATAATTGAGCTTCGCCTCTCTGAAGAAGAGGCCACTAAGTTAAGGTTTTTTGTGGATCAGCCTGTTTTCACAGATCTTCACTTTGGAGTGTTTATTCCTGCTATTAAAGGAAGCGGATCTGAGGAGCAGAAAGCGAAGTGGCTTCCGATGGCATAACAGATGCAAATCATTGGATGCTATGCACAAACTGAGCTTGGTCATGGCTCCAATGTACGAGGGCTCGAGACTACTGCATCATTCGATCCTCAAACTGATGAATTTGTCATTCATAGTCCCACATTGACCTCAAGAAAATGGTGGTCTGGGGGATTGGGTAAAGTATCCACACATGCTGTGGTTTATGCTCGTCTTATAACAGATGGACAAGACCATGGAGTTCATGGTTTTATCGTCCAGTTGCGTAGTTTGGACGATCACTCACCTCTACCCGGCATAACTGTTGGTGATATTGGAATGAAATTCGGAAGCGGGGCATATAACATCATGGACCATGGTGTTCTGAAATTCGATTATGTGCGCATTCCAAGGGACCAAATGCTAATGGGTGTTTCACGGGTTACAAGGCAAGGGAAATATATGCGATCTGATGTTCCTCGCCAGCTGGTTTATGGTACGATGGTCTATGTCCGTCAAAGAATTGTAGCTTCTGCTTCTTCTGCCTTATCAAGGGCAGTTTGTATTGCAACAAGGTATAGTGCTGTGCGTAGACAATTCGGATCGCGGAATGGTGATGCAGAGACCCAGGTGATTGACTACAAAACACAGCAAAACAGACTCTTTCCTTTGCTTGCTTCTGCCTATGCTTTCAGATTCGTTGGTGAGTGGCTGAAATGGCTGTATACTGATGTGACCCGAAGATTGGAAGCCAATGATTTTTCCACACTACCCGAGGTTCATGCATGTACTGCGGGGTTGAAGTCTATTACTACTACAACTGCAGATGCAATTGAAGAATGCCGAAAATTATGTGGTGGTCATGGTTATCTGTCTAGCAGTGGGCTTCCCGAGTTGTTTGCGGTTTATGTCCCTGCCTGTACTTATGAAGGCGACAATGTTGTGCTGCTTCTACAGGTTGGAAGGCTTCTGGTTAAGACCGTTTCCCAGCTGGGGTCTGGAAAGAAGCCCGTTGGGACAATAGCTTACATGGGCCGAGCAGAACACCTCTTGCAATGCCATCGTGAAGTTCGAAGGGCCGAGGACTGGTTAAAGCCGCAGGTAATTGTGGAGGCATTTCAAGCGAGGGCTGCTGGGATGGCTGTTGCCTGTGCAGAAAACCTTAACAAATTTCCAAACCAAGAAGATGGTTTTGGTCAACTCTCAGCTGATTTGGCCGAGGCTGCTGTTGCTCATTGCCAGTTAATTGTTGTTTCCAAGTTCATTGAGAAACTGCAACAAGACATACCCGGAAAGGGAGTGAGAAGACAGTTGGAGATCCTATGCAATGTGTATGCCTTAAGTCTATTACACAAACATCTTGGTGACTTTATCACCTCCGGATGCATTACTCCGGAGCAAGGCGTACTGGCAAATGAACAACTGAGATCATTGTACTCTCAAGTTCGTCCGAATGCTATCGCACTCGTCGATGCATTCAACTACACTGACCACTACCTTGGCTCGGTTCTTGGTCGCTATGATGGAAATGTGTACCCGAAACTATACGAGGAAGCATGGAAGGATCCTTTGAATGAAACAGTCGTGCCCGATGGATACCACGAGTACATTCGACCGATATTGAAGCAGCACATTCGGGTGGCAAGACTCTAGAAAAACCAATCAACTTACCATACTGTTGAATTGTATATGTTGATATGAATGAACGAAGTGCAGAGATATTGGCCACTGGAAAGAGGGTTGTCTGGTTAACTGCTTGGTCTTGTACGCTATGTTGGATAATGGCTTTGATTATTTATCTACTTCAATTCGTAGTCATTAAAAAAAAAAGGAAATTGTAGAAAAATAAGGTGTTGGAATTTAAAAGTGTAAAAAATTAAAATACTGAAATTTAAAGAGCACGAAAATAAATGTAACACCTCTTTCCCTATACGTACCCGAATATGAGTCAAAGAACAGTTTAATAATAATAAGATATATAAAACGTCATTTAACTACTAATAAGTAAATAGCGTTTATATCTATCATATAGTAGTTTAAGTTCAAACATAATATAATACTACAAACCAACTATCAAAATATCCTACCAGAGCATCACAACATAACTAAATACATGCCGACTAATAATATCAAAAGAACATCTAGAGATGTCATATTGTTACTGATGAGACAACCCTTGACAGATGATATCAACTGCACTACTCACTCCGAAAGTACGCTAAAACCTATGCGTAAAACAATCACACGCTAAATATTCATTTAGTGAGGCATAATAAAGTAAGGCATTTTTAAAGCATAGATAATCATTAGAGATCAAAATACGATTTATTTCGTATAAAATATATAAACGCATAAATTCATTCACAACCCAATGTATGACAGATGAGAATGCAAGGTACACAATTAACACCTAAGGGCTACAATGGCGTATAGGTACTGTAGTACACATCGACACTATACTAACAATTCCGAAGTGGTAATTCATTATGAATACCATCCTTGCACACATAGTGCCATAGTACAACAAATGTACTGCTACAAGAACGCAATAATGCATTAAACAAAATAGATCAATAACCACCTTATTCAAGGTATTACAATTGCACCTATGACTCTTAATGTGCATACAATAGGCTATTATATCCAAATCGCAGATTAAACATTTATTCCAAAACATCAATAGACTATAAATAGTGTAAAACATATCCATTTGTTTTAGGGTATTTTATACCCTAAAATCATTCAATAAAATAATTTTCGTAAAACTTTATGAAAATATTTCAAAATGCATTAAAAATATGCTTAGTAAAACACTCGAGGTTGACTCGTCACAAGTTTTCCTCATATCATATAAATACATAATAAAATGCACTCACCTGGTATGCTTCACTATTATGCCTTACTATCGATATCTTATTATTCTTGGACATTTTTCGTTCCTTTCGATTTGCTTGTATCACGAGTTTGATCGCGATCTACACAAGCATCAAAACATACCATATACAAATATAAAATACATGTTAGTATTCTTACTAACATTTTAAGCACAATAATAATACTTAAAACTACTACTATTTTTGAATTCTTCTAGAATTCATCTTAACTTTTCCTTTTACTCATAATGGTCCCTTGCCATTATTTCTTCAATTCAAATCTCAAACAACTAAATAAAATTTTCAGCATCTAATTTCCAGCGCAATACCTCAACAATGTCATTATTACCTTTTAAGTAACTAACTTTCTCAATATTTTCCATTTGATGCCCAAACTTTGCTATCTTCCCAAAAATAGTCCAATTTCACATTCTATCATCACTTTCAGCCCTTTAAAATAAAATTCCAGAATTATAAATCAACTACTTGGTAATTACACATTTACCCCATAATTTCTAAAAATTATCGAATAGTTCCCCCAACTTTTGAAAAATCACAGCACAATCCCAATAATTTTCTAAGGCTTGTAGTATATTCCAAACATCATTCCTAAGCCATGGGAAAATTTTCAATTTTTTTCCCAATTTAGGGTCGAATCATATAGGGTTAGGATTCCATAATTTTCACTTGATTTCAAGCTTGAAATCAAACTCTATTCAACATTTCCAAGCCTTTACAATCAAACCCCTAACTTAATTTCATCAAATCACAAACTGGTGTGATCGCCAATAGCAAAGACCCCAAGAAGTACCCAAGTGGCCCCATCACTCGAGCAAGGGCTAAGGAGTTTCAATCAGCCATAGAGAATATGTTTACATCAAGTTTGGAACTTGATGAAGGAGGAATAATAAGGGAGGAACACTTTATGTTGCTTATGCATGAATTTGCATAAGAATTTAAAGTTTGCATGACATTCATTGCATTTAATAAGTGTGATGTTCATTCAAGCATGCATTGCATTTAAATCATCTAGTTCATTTAGGGAAGTAGTTCATTAATTAAACTAGTTCATTCATCAAACTAGTTCATTTATTAAATTAACTATTAATTGTTTCATGCATGTTTTCAATTAAATATTGAATAAAGTTCACCTTTATGTCTAGGTGCATGAGAGAAGTTGAATGGTTTCATCGTATGCAAGAATGTCAGTCAGAATGTCTTTCAATTCTGGATAAGATACATATGTGTTTGGTTCTATAAATCAATTGGACATTATTCCTTATCTCTTAGCTTTCCAACACCTTTTGAATCACCTTAATCCGATAACGGGAGCTTGAGATATGATCGATTTATTGAAGACAGTGCAGGCTAGAATTTTGTTACGGGAATTTTATGCATGGAAGATTTGGATGAGTTTGAGCCAAGGGAGAGTCTTTTCAACTTCAGCCAAGTGACAAGCCATTTAAGGACTCTTAATTCACCCATTCAAGGCATTCAAAGCTGATTGTTATCATCTAAGTTCAAGGGTTGTTCATATTCTTCAAGGGAGCATGCAATGAAGGGTGATTTAATTCACTTGTTAAGACAATTTTCAACATGGAATAGCAAGAGTCTTCCACCCCTTGGACGGAATAAGGCCAAATTCAGCTTCAAATTTTCTATATTGATCCCCAAAATGATCTAGAATATTCATCCAACCTTGAAGATAAGAAAACAAAACATTCAAGTGCATTTTATTGCTAAATTGATGAGAATGTTTTCATCTTTTGAGTCTTTTCATATGCTGCTTAGAAACACTATAAATAGGCACCTTTGGGATCATTTGTAGACACACATTTGAATATATAAAACATCTTTGAGAGGTTGCCTTCATTCTGATTCTCTTGCATAACTTTATCGGCTTCAAAATAGTCTTGTTGTCTTCATCCATTTCCTTTTGTTATAGCGTTGGTTCCTAGCTCATCTATAGCTAGTGGGTCACATTCCATCTACTTCCACTTCGATTCCATCTATTTATATTTCTGGTTCCTAACTCCATATAGTTAGAGGGTCACAATCCATCTTCTTTTCAATCCATCTTTCATATTCCACGCCATTACCAACCCATACCTTCGCCATACTTTCATTACATCCAAACTACAACTTCCATCATCTTCTATTCAAAGCAAG